CATTTAAAACTCTCTCCCAATTTAAAATATCTGCTTTATTAGAATCCATCCCCACCCAAATTCCCAAAATGTTTGTGTTCCTTTTCTTCTTTAAAGGGTATATGTTGTGTTATTTCTTTTACTCTTCCCACCCTCATGCATAAACTTTTTCCAACATTAACCTTAGCTCCTGATGCTTTACAATATCACTCTAAAATCCCCAACGATGTAGTATCATCAGCGTATTGATACACAGCTTCTCTGTTGTCATTGTTTTCTATTTGTATCCCTTTAATGCTTCTATCTGATTTTATTGCCAATCCCAGTGGCTCAGCTTCCAGTGTGTATAATAAAGCAGACAATGGACATCCTTGCCTTATTGATCTAGTTGGTTGAAGACATTCTGTTTAAAAAAAATACATTTAATACAAGTTAAAATATCTGTATAAAATTTTTTAATCCATTTTCTAAAATTTTCCCCAAATCCAAACTCCTTAAGAATTGCAAATAAAAAATCATGCTCTACCCTGTCAAAAGCCTTCTCCAGATCTAAACCTATTAAAACCCCCCCTTTCTCTTTTTCTTTCATATAGTAGACAATTTAGCTTACCCAATTCACCTGTACCGCATGTTTTTTCGATTGTGGGGAAAACCGGAGAACCCAGAGGAAACCTACGCGAACACTGGGAGAACATGCAAACTCCACACAGAAATGCCAACTGACCAGGGCACAGTACTGTGTGTGTGTGTGTGTGTATGTATATATATAAGCAGCTACTTTTTTTCAGCAAATTATGTACCCTTTAGCCCCTTCACAACCCTTTAAATGTTTATCTTGCATAAACTTTTTTTTTATTTATTTATTTATGTTTTTTTTATTAATTTAATTTTTATTTATTTACTTTTTTACGGTAAATACAAGTGTCATTACTATACGCGTTTTTTTTCCCTATATTTGTGTCTGCCTATTGTTGTAATTGTATTACATCTTGCATGTTTATGCATGTAAAGCCTACTTGGTTTGCATATTTTTTAGACAATTTAATAAAAATAAATTAATTAATAAAAACATAAAAATTAGATGTAGTATATAATCCCAAATCTTATTTTTGAAAAAGTCGGTGGTAAAGAGTTTTTTTTAAAGTGTGGCTTTAAGATTCATAAACTCATATTAGGCTAAAAAAATTTCCTCTTTCAGTTTTTATTTGCCCACTTAATAATACTGGTTAGTAATAGTCATAAATATATACACACACACATGTAATATATATATATATATATATATATATATATATATATATATATATATATATATATATATACATACATACATACATACACACACACACACATATATATATTTACACACAATATATTTTAAAAAAAAATTATGAAATATGGAATGAACTATGGGGGGCATAGATTCCCTGTGTTACACCACGGTTTTTAATTATCAGCAGTTTGACCACAGAAAAAAAAAAAATAATAATATAATTTTAATATGTATGAAAAGATAACCCTTTCATGATGATGCATGCAAAATATGTATTGCCTATTTAAAAATTATCTATAAAAATGTACCTGTCATTTCTGAGCTGACATTATCCTTCTATTCAGATGGCAGTACTAAGAAATAAATGTTTATGGTCACATGGCCAAACTACCCAATCATGTTAGACCTGCTCTGAACTCATTTAGACATCTTAACTTTTCATTATATATGAACATGTGCTTTATAATAAGAGTTGCTTTTGAATACTACAGAAAAATATGCAAGCAAAAATTGTGGTCACAATTAGAGATGTCCCGATCTGGAAATTCGTCCGATATCAGTCCAAAAAACTATATCGGACTGCGTTAAAAATCTCAGATAAAAGCAGTCCGATACACTCTAAACTCCGTTACAGCTATTTTATCTAGCAACATCCAGAGCCAGCATGCAAAGCCCACGTGATCACAATACTGCTTGATAGCAAAGTCAATAGAAATCTATTGTGATGGTAGCACACGCTGACGCTATCAACAACAACACATGTCTATGGAACCAGATTAGTCTCAAAAGAAATTCACGCAAAAGACACGATGTACACATGTGTAGCCAAATTCACGTGCATAAAACTAAATTCACGTGCATAAAATATTTATATTCACAAAAAAATTTTACGAGCACAAAATAAAATTACATTTTTACACAACGTGCTGACCACTGGACCACAATGGCTCTGTAATACTGATATGGCCGGAATGATACTTATGATAACCAAAAAGAATGAGGATATGGTGAAACAAATAAATAAATGAAAAAAAGTGCGACTGCTGCTTTCTCCGTTCGCCATGCTGGAGAGAAACAGTCTGCACAAATGAAGCGCAGAGTTGGTTTCATTGAATACAGCTCTCATCTGATTGGCTGAAAGGTACGAGTTACCCTGACTCTGGCAGGAAAGTCTCAAAAATGCACACACACGTATCCAGGGGGAGTTGTACGTGAAAGAGGATTTGCACATTCTCATCCAGGATGAACTCGCAAGTTTTAAACATTCAAAACTTTTTGTCTTATACATTTGCAAATGGTGTTTTGCATTTGTGAAACGTATTTTATGAAAATGTATTTTTATTTTGTGCCCGTAAAATTTTTTTGTGAATATAAATAAATATTTTACGCACGTGAATTTGGTTTTATGCACGTGAATTTGGCTACACATGTGTACATCGTGTCTTTTGCGTGAATTTCTTTGGAGACTAATCTGGTTCCATACATGTCTAACGTTACTGGTTTATTTACTTTACGCCAAGCGATCTTTACATTGTTTTGTATATGCTGCTAAGCAACACAAGGGACCGAATTGCGACGTAGCACACATCGTGCGAGCCTTAATTCCGTCATGGCATGTCTTGGTGCATCCAATGTACCTAATTCAACACCAGCGCTTCCCACACATAAGACTACCTCAGCGGCCCGGTTCTGTGTGCGTGAGAAAAGTTTATGCCACAGACTCGCGGGCTCTGCTGCTGCAGACCCACAGAGACACGCTGGACACCTGCTGTGACTTTAACTTTGAGAAGAGTACACGCAGAAAAAAAAGCCTTTTACTAAATAGACTGATCCAGCTCATTATTTAGGGTGAAAATACATTATCTTTTTCCTGGACACGTCCTCTATTTGCGCCTTAAAAATGCATTCAGCCAGGATTTCTAAATCGCCTATCATGTCCCGGATTCTGCTTTCTTTAGCTGCGTTTCTACATTATTACAAGCAAACAGTGGCCGGTGAATCTCAATCTCTCAGCAGCACCAAGACTAGAGAGGGAGCAGATTTGACCTGTCAGTGGTGCACATGGATAGTAGGAGTGAAATAGTGGATTTATTATTCTTTATTTTATTTTTTTACTTGAACACTCTAAAAGGAAACGTGTCATGTAAAATGCTAAACATTTTTGCTGTTTTCATTGTCTGTTAAATAAGAATAAGAAATCATTCTGTTGCTGATGGCCATTACAGTTTAAAAGAAAGAATGATATTACTTTTGGGGCAGAAGGAAAATTTAATTAGAGACATTCTCATGTTTAACTCTTCGTTAAAAAGCCCAGAAAGATAAAGTGCTCTGATAAACAGTGTCAGCTTTGCACATCAGTTCGCAGTTCTGTCTGTCTTTACATTGTCAATTTTTTTCGATGTGGACAGTAGGGTGGAATCTGTGCAATATATTATGTAAATATAATGAATTTTCATAAATAAAATTATTCTTAAAAGTCATATTATTGTATGTGCTGTGGAGAAAAGGTGTGTTTCAATCCAGCTTCTGCAAGTATAGTTATGTTAAAGATAATATGTGCAATATATATTATTATAAAATTAATAATGTTTGGGAACATTGATACAGCCATAATGTTCTTATGATACAAACAAAGATTAAATAGATCTGGTCATGAAAATGTTTGTACTAACCATACTGCACATTTTTATTAATTAACAATAACTTATTTCTGGAGCCCAGCTTGAAAGATATTTTGCAGCTCAACTGGAACAAAAATTCACCAAAAAGCTGTGTTTGAAATCGAAACTTTGGACACTGAACCTTTAGCAGTTGTTCAATTAACAATATTTTTTTCATATGTTCCTGCTCTCAGCTGTTTCTACGATTTTATGATTAAAAAAAATGTATAACTGAAATGACCTTTAATTAGCATTTTGCACTTTAAAAATGTATTTTTGTTTATTCAATTAAGATATTTTATAAAATTAAAAAAGTAAAGTATTTATGATTTTTGCTGATATCGGATATATATCGGTATCGGTTCGTACTGAAGGCTGCAATATCGGTATCGTATCGGAAGTTAAAATTTTGTATCAGGACATCCCTACACGAGAAAATGTTTTGCTGCATTCATGTAATGTGTGCAACTTTTTGTCCAATTCTGTAGACACATCAGATTTCAGATGTACAGTTTCTCTCCAGTGTGAATCCTCTTTTGTGTGATTCAGAAGTGTTCACTGATTAAACCTCTTGTCACAGTGTGAACACTTGTATGGTCTCTCAAGTGTAAAACATCTGGTGCAGTTTCAATTTTGTAATAAAAGTCTTCTCACATTCAAAACACATATACTCTTTCACACCAGTGTGGATCTTCATGTGTTCATTAAGGTTTGCTGATCGGTTAAAACTCTTCTTACACTGAGTGAATGTCAATGGTTTCTTCCCAGTGTGGGTCTTCATGCGTTTATTAAGGTCTGAGGATGTGCTGAAACTCATCCCACACCGAAGCTGCGGTCACAATAGAGTTTGAGCATGCAAAATTCTGTTGTACGGCGTTGCGAAAAGGAGCGGGAACAAACAAGATGATTAGACATTTTAAAAAGTGAGCGATTGGTACATTTTTTTAAATTTCGGTCCAGAGAGGTCATGTTTTGATCTTCGATTGGTCTCACACAGTCAAGTGATGCGATTTCGCAGGTCAGAGTCCGTCAGAGTTTCGTAGGTCATGGTTTCTCTCCGTTGTGGCTTACCATGTGTAGATTAAGGCATGATGATTGGCTGAAAATCTTCCCACACTGAGTGCATGCGTATGGTTTCTCTCCAGTGTGTTTCCTCATGTGTAGATTAAGGTTTGATGAGCAGGTAAAACTCTTCTCACACTCAGTGCAAGTGAATGATTTCTCTCCGGTATGGATCCTCATGTGTAGATTAAGGTGTTCTGATCGGTTGAAACTCTTCCCACACTGAGTGCATGTGAATGGTTTCTCTCCAGTGTGGATCCTCATGTGCTTATTAAGAGATGATGATTGGCTGAAACTCTTCCCACACTGAGTGCATGTGAATGGTTTCTCTCCAGTGTGGCTCCTCATGTGTAGATTAAGGGATGATGATATCCTAAAACTCTTCTCACACTGAGTGCACGTGAATGGTTTTTCTCCAGTGTGGATCATCATGTGTTTACTAAGGTTTGATGAGCAGTTGAAACTCTTCCCACACCGAGTGCATGTAAATGGTTTTTCTCCAGTGTGGATCCTCATGTGTAGATTAAGGGATGATGATAAGCTAAAACTCTTCCCACACAGAGTGCATGTGAATGGTTTCTCTCCAGTGTGGATCCTCATGTGTTGATTAAGGGATGATGATTTGCTGAAACTCTTCCCACACTGAGTGCATGTAAATGGTTTCTCTCCTGTGTGGATGCTCATGTGAATCTTAAGTTTGCTTTTGCTTCCCAAAATCTTTCCACACTGAGTGCAAGTGAAACGATTCCCGTCTCTCCTTTTCAAAATACCATCAGTCTGTAAATGAGTTTTGTCCTCAATTTTAACATGATGTTCCTCCTCTTTACTCCCCTCCTTCTCTCCAATTAGGTCTGAAATAAATAAACATTAGTTTTCATTAAGTCTTAAAAACTCTCATCAAAACACACACACACTGTAACTTTGATGCACATTAAATGTAAAATAAATCAGATCATAGTTTGTTTGGTCCATTAACCTGTACACATTTAAGCAGATTCCAATCATCTTCATTTATCTAGTGCTTTTACAATGTAAATTGTGTCAAAGACACTTAACATAGAAGTTATAGTAAATTGAAACCGTGTCAGTCCAGTTTTCCAAGTTTCTCATAAAAGTAATTTTGGTCATATTAATAAGACACAGATTTGAAAGCTGTTTGTAGCTGATGCTGATTGGTCAGCTTGTAATGTTGTTTATTGTTTTGAATTTCATTATTTGAATGTGTATTGGTATATGTTTGTTACTAATTTCTTTGTTTCCAGTTGGCTTGAGTGGAAAGTCACATGATTCTCATTGATTGATTTAACCTGCAAGAGTTTGTATGGTCACTCAGGATAGTGAGATCTCAATGCAAGCACCTGTTTAATGCTCCTGCTTATTCTACAGCTGGTTATCAGGCCAACACAGTAAACTAAACATTGTTTTATATATTATTAGTTTATTTTGATGTCCTTTTGATTTTGTGTTTGTGTGAAACATTTGGTTTGTTTATTTGTTTATCTTTTAGTCTTCACGGTGTTCATTAAATGAAACGCATGGTGGACATCAGTATTTGGAAGCGTGGACTGTTTAATAACCGGCGGGTAGTTACACTGTTAATGGCCTATTTTTATTTGTATATATTTATAATTACAACAAAATGACAGGGAATACTTGTTCATTCTGTGTCTGACTGGTAAACGCATCAGAAAAAAAAAAGTTCTGAGGTAACAGCTGAACAAACAGCTGAATATTTACCTCTCAGACATGAGACATATCTGTACAACATCTGCATAAAGGCTGGAATGTGCACCTTTCTAAAGATGTATAGTAACGAAGTAGAACTACTTCACTACTGTACTTAAGTACTAAAAGGCAGTATCTGTACTTTACTGGAGTATTGTATTTTTCTCCTACTTACACTTTTACTTAAGTACATATTTTCAATAAGTTTAATACTTTTACTCTGATAAACTTTTTATGTGCTGCATCGTTACTCGTTACTAGCGGTGTCAAAATGATCGATATTGGTTCAGTAATAGATCATAACCGGTTATTACATACTAACGTCATTCATCTCCTATGCGCGATGTCGCAATACTAGGACAGAGGCAAGGGTGAGTGAAAGCTGCACAGCACACGAGCCACTATTTCACTATACAGAGAAATGCTGTAAAACTTCATTTCTGCCTCTCTCTCACTTTGTACATTTGACCTGCTGCGCTGGCTTTCCTCTCCTCTTGTCTGTTTAAGCGATAATATTGGATCCGGACACAATCGTGCCTTTAGTGCGAGTTTTCTCCACTGTGTCTATTACCTGTGATAACTGCGTATTATTTATATTAAAGTACTGGCACTAGGGATGTAACAATATTGTAAATACCGTCATACCGCAATAGTAATTGTTTTCAATGTTACCGTAGGCGCATGACTCAATAAAACTATATTTCTGAGAAAAGTTTGCTTAGGCAAATGAAGCGAATGGGAGGTAGTGGGAACTACAATTCCCATCAGCCTAGGCATGGCCATCATCCTTTCTGGTCTGTTGTTACTACAGATCCAGTAACGCGGAGATGGAGTGTGTTGCTAGTAGAGGGGAAGAAAAAGAGCAGGAAATGATCGAACCTAAAGCGGGTTTTAAATCGGATGTGTGGAAGCATTTCGGTTTCTTTCTAAAAAGATACGATAAAGGAGAAAAGGTGACAGACAAAGAAAAAAACAGTATGCAGGCACTGCCAGAATGTGGTAAAATATAAGTCGGGGAATACGACTACAAACAGTCATGGTGACTGCAGAACACAGCACACTTGTTAGATTGATGCAGACATTGACTTGTACCATAAAGAGACCTCTATCTCACTCATGGCTTGTCCTCTCAAGTGGTGGAAAGACATTGCACGTTACCCACTGCTGTCAACCTTGGCTAAATCATATCTCTCTGTCCCAGAAACCTCAGTCCCAAATGAGAGGTTTTTTTTTTTTTTCTTCTGTTGCCGGGGACATGCCCAGAGATCCCAGCTTTTACCAGATTATAGTTATATTATAATTTTTCTTAAAAAACCTATCTCTATCTAAGTGAGTGAGTGATTAAATGTTGAATGTGATGAGTTTTCAACAATACTAAATTGAAACTTTATTTTTTTTTAATATGGTTTAATAGTTTTTTGTTATTAAAATTGAAAAATTGAAGTTCTTGTTTCGAAACTTACAGATAGATGGCTAATTTGTATGTCATTGATATGTTCAGTGCTAAAGTAAATAAACACTTTTGGCACTTTTTTCGAGTCTTAGTAGTTTTAAGTAGTTTTGTTTTTCCTGTAAATTATTCAATAAATACCGTACCGTGCCATTCATACCAAGGTATTATCGTACCATGAAATTCTGAAACAGTTACATCCCTAACTGGCACTCTTGCTAATTGTATTAATATTTATCACTGAAGGGTTCATAATTATGTTTCAGTGTATTACGATACTGTAGTGATGACATCATGTTGTTTACGTGTTTAAAGTCTAGGGCTGCAACTAAGGATTATTTTAATAATCAATTAATCTGTTGATTATTTTTTCGATTAATCAGATAAAAAAAGCCCTTTCCAACCCTTTATTTAAAAAAGCTCATGCCTATAATAATAATAATAATAATAAACAGTTTTCAATCCAAATATGTAAATGTTTTTAAATGAAGATACTTACTAGACACATGAAATTCCATAAGAAATCACTTAACCTCAAACTTTAATGATAGTTTGCTTAAAACAAGCTAAATTATTTGCCAATGGGGTGAGAAAAATTATCTTAATAAGATATAATCTCAAACAGCATCACTTCGTTTTCTCATGCTATTTTTCTTCTCTGGTCTTGATGTAAGATTATTTTAGATATATGAACTGGAAACGAGACAAAATAACTAAGAAAAAAAAGTTTTCTGCAGTGCAGCTATACATGACAACAGATGGAAAAATTAATGATCCAAAAAAGATAACATTCACACACTTGCTCATCATGCCATCAACTACCTGATATTCCAATTCACATAAACGTGTAAGTGATCATGATTATAACGTGAGATGGACGTCTCCATGTTTACTTGCGGCCGCTGCCTAATTCATAAAAGCAGAACACGCAGGATTTAGCAGGTACATTCATAAGTTACTCCAAAAATACATGCAAGTAAGTGTTTGGTGAACTTAGAAAAGCCTAGATTCAACTTTATAGTTACTTTCACTATGTGTAATGTGTATCTGATATAAATAAAACACATCGGCAAATTATGTTTGAATGGATTGTTAGACTTTCTTGTGTGTTTTACAAACTCTAAATGTATTGTTTTACTAGTACTTGTATGTATTTACATATCTAAAACATAAATGAAGTATTAGGCAGTTAAAATGCTGCATAATTGTGATAATATGACATGTCTTTTAGCGGAGTTAAGATGGTTTTGTTTTTTGAAAAAAAAAGCAGCACTTTTCCAACAGTCCCTTACTGAGAGCTCTCCTCAGCGCAAGCTCTTTGGCTCAGCGCGTATTGCAACTGCTTAAACGGAGCAGTGCTCGTAATATCGAGCAAAAAAATAAATCAGACAGCTGTGAAACATAACCTGCTTTGTCTTTTTTGTAGGAAACACAGTTAAGATCTTTATAGGGTAAGAGTTTTTTGTGTTAATGCTGTCTATCAGTGTCAGGAATACCGAAAACAAAACCTGCTGAACCCCGCTGTCTTTCTCTAGCTCAGCTCCAGACACAAAGAAACCAGCACCAGGGACTTTGTAGAATTCTGTAGTGATTCTTCCGCATCATCCCTGTCTTCTTGAGGCGCTGAACTCTGTATCAGTGCGCGAGAGACGGAGAGAGGCCTTGTTCAGTCCGCTCCGCTCCATGTTCTTTTTTTTCTTATCAAATGTCTCCTGGTCGCGCGACACAACAAATCGATTATGAAATTCGTTGCTAACGCTTTTAATAATCTATTTTTATCGATTTAATCGATTCGTTGTTGCAGCTCTAGTCTCCACGTTATACTGTTGATAAACAGAAGTGTTACCGTCTCGTGTTCATGCTGTACAGAGAGAGCATGTAAAAGTGAGTAATAAAAGACGCTGATGAAACGATTCGTTCTGTCTAGTGCTTAAGCTACGCACTCCAAGCTCAACAGGTTATGGGCCCAGGCAGCGAGACTAGCGATCGTTTTCAAGAAAGCAAAGGTAACGCGACATATTCAGGTGCAAAGTTAGCAAAGATGGTAAGCAGAGCGGGAGGATATCTAGCGCCGCAGTTTATGTTCGATGGATCAGAAGAAAAATTCGATCTATGGGAGACGAGATTTCTAGTATATTTACACACTCTGAAGCTAAAAGAAACTATATTGCATCAGCCTACTGATGCTGAAGCGGAGCAACTAGATGAGGACAGACGGCAGAGCGCTGATTGTTATGCTGAACTGATCGATGATAAAAGCCTTTCACTGGTAAGACACAATGCTGCGGATGACAGGAGAAAAGCCCTAAAAATACTGAAAGAGCATTATTCAGGCAAAAGTAAACCACGCATAATAAACATGTACACAGCATTGACTCAGCTGCACGAGTGACAGTGAGAGCGTTACAGACTATTTGATACGAGCAGAAAACAACTTTACAGCTCTAAGAAATGCTGGAGAATTAATGAGTGATGGACTACCCATAGCGATGGTTCTCCGAGGACTACCGGATTCGTTTAAGCCACTAGCCATCCACATAACACAAAATGA